TACCTGGTTGATCCTGCCAGTAGTCATATGCTTGTCTCAAAGATTAAGCCATGCATGTCTAAGTATAAGCACTTGTACTGTGAAACTTCGAATGGCTCATTAAATCAGTTATCGTTTATTTGAATGTACCATTACTAATTGGATAACCGTATTAATTGTAGAGCTAATACATGCGAAAACTCCCGACCTCTGGAGGGGATGTATTAGATTAAAAACCAATGCGGGTTCTGCCTAGCCTGAATTTCAGCCGCCTCCTCCACTCGCTAAGTCACTCGGGGAGAGCGGCGTCGCCCTTCTCCCCGAGTGACTTAGCTGGCGGAGGCGGCGGCTGAAATTCAGGCTAGGTACTGCCCGGTTATTTGAGGATTCATAGTAACTGATCGAATCGCACGGCCTTGCGTTGGCGATGTTTCATTCAAATTTGTGCCCTATCAACTGTCGATAGTAAGGTAGTGGCTTACCATGGTTGCAACGGGTGACGGAGAATTAGGGTTCGATTCCGGAAAGGGAGCCCGAGAAACGGCTACCACATCCAAGGAATTACCCGATCCTGACTCAGGGAGGTAGTGACAAGAAATAACAATACAGGGCTTTTCCAAGCCTTGTAATTGTTAAATCCTTTAACGAGGATCCATTGGAGGGCAAAATCGAATTCGATTTGGTTCGATTTGGTTCGATTAGTCCGATAATCGAACTAACGGCAAAACCGAACTCAAACGAACGATTGGTGTTCGATTGACTTTTGGATTAGATTCCCCTGAAAATAAAGATATATAGAAATCAACAACAACTCAACAAAATTATTTAATTTTCAATTTTGATACACTTGTACTAGATTAAGGGATCGAGTTTTGCAACAAGGAAGGAAATAACCGAATATTTTGGGACCTTTCGGGGGCCAAGATATCGATTTTTCACAAAGTTTGTTTCTTGGTATGAACGCTATTACAGTATTATTTTCAAAGTGGTTACAGCTGATCCACGATCTACCTTTTTTCCCACATCCGCGAATGGTTCAATTTCTCGAGAAAGTATGCAATCAGTGCGTTTTTAAAGACTGTTTTAATCCGACGGTTTTACAGGTTTGACAGAAGGCGGTAAACTTCAAATAAAACTGAAACATATACGGACGCATTGTTCTTCACAGCGTGTAACGAGCCGGTATAAAATTTCAGCGTCCCCACCTCAGTTTACTTTCTAACAATGGCGGAATCTAGCTCGGCAAGTGAGAGATCTAGGTCTCCTTCCCCGGCGAGGGCAGTTACTGGACCGAAATCGTCACGTACTTTTGTATGGTTGAGGGAACTTCCCAAGGCAATCCCACGAGGAAAACCTTGGGATCAACTGAACCGTGATGGCAGAGTGAAAGAAATCGAGTTCGGCAAGAAATTTACCGAAAGGCAAATGCGCGATTTAGTGCGTCAGAATTTTACTGAGTTAGGGGAAGCTGACTTTAGAAGGTAGGCTCTAACTACAGCTAAATAAACATAATGGAATGCATCTTTCGTTACTACAATCGAGTGAAGTATGGAAAATCAGATTCGTCGGCGGCCGACTGAATTACAGTAATCTCCCGGCATTTAGGTAGCTAGCGCGCCAGCGCGGTTCCGCGAAAGGGACAGCGAAGTAAGCGAAGGAAAAAACAATGTTAGATTTCAGCTTTCTTCTATCATTGTTTGGCAGAATTCGCCTGTACAAGTCTGGCAGCAGAGGCAGTGTCTTGACGAGGGTTGTCAAAAATATACCTGATGCATCGACTTTATTGCACAAATTCAGTGGAGGATCATCCAAAAGGGTGTACATTCTTCTTAAGAGTGATGATGAAAATGGAGGTACTATAAAGACATATGGCATTTGACATTTACGTAGACAGCGTGACTGAGTGGTGAGCGCGTCGGGCTCGTAATCCAGCGGTCTTGGGCTCGATTCCCGCTCCGACCACTATCTGGATTTGTTTCATGGCAGTCCCGAGTTCAAATACTCGCCCCCTTGTAAATAGTCAACTGATTTGACTCCGGCCAGTTGGGATTCTTGACAATGTTATGTTCAATTTTAATTATTTGTTCCAGTTGTTTGCTCAGCCCCAGTAGACTTTGTGAGGGTAAATAAAGTTTGTCTATATATTTTACATATGTACAACAACTGTTTCTTTCTTTAAAAATTTAGTTCATCAAATGAAAGCTCTAAGATTTGTTCTTGTTCTCTTTTTATCACACTGCAGAGCCACGGTAACAGCTTCGGTTAAGTCTACATTGAGACAATTAGTACATCTTGCCAGGGTTTTATCATTTCCAGTAGCAGAATATATAATCCAAACCCTCAAAATCTTTAACTGGCTTTCATTTTCACAGGGGGTCCTAATTCTAGAACTGACCCATCTGCCATAGTTCCTGTGTCTTTAGTCCAGGCTCAGGATAATTCTAACAATACAATGCCTCCAGTTCCTGGTAATGCTGGTGTCCCTCCAAGGTTGCCTCTACCTAGAGATGGATGTAAGTAAAAGAAGTTGAGAATATCTTAATTGCCAATGACATTCCAGAAAAAATCCTTACCTCCCCACAGATGGGATTTTTTCTAAGACCACCCTACCCCTCTGGAAATTTCAATAAAGCTTCACACATTTCTTTAAATTTTTTGGTCTAACAGAACCCTCCACCACCCAGGAAATTCCAATCCCTTCTGTGGGGGTAGTACTTAATGGATATTTCCTAGACCGGAACATTGCTAAAATAGTTCTGAAGCAAAAAGCAATCACTAACATGCACCTTTAAGTATGAACGAATATACCTACAACCCACATATACCTACGTGTACCTATGTATATTGTTCATGTATAAGCTGGGCAGATCTAAGGGGGATGGGGCAGGTTTAGAGGGTTTGATGTTACATCCTAAACTAAAAAGTGGGGCATTAGAACAAGTCCATATCTCGAACCCCCGTACCTATAATCCAGTATCTGCCCCAGATAAGACGATTTCAATTGATAATTTGATTCAGCCCCCCTGTGGGATAATGATAGTGTTGTAATTAAGCGCAAGCCCACTATTTCTAAGGTGGGTTAACAGTTGACAATAAAAACGAGGATACAAAAAAAGATCCTAAGGAGGCATCTCGTAAATGGCATCATTTAGTTTCCAGCACTGTAATGACCAATCAACTCTAAAAATTTGAACAGGTATTTATTCCACTAAGCAAAACCAAAGAAAGTCCATCAGGAAATTAAAATCAGGGTGTACATTTCTTAATTTTTATAAAACTTAAATGTGTTACTGGTATACAAGGAATAACAACATGAAATTCTGGGTTGTCTTAATTGGGTTTTACTGTGCTTTCAAAGGCAATTCAATTTTTCCCAATGGTTATCAAAACCAGGAATTAACTAAAAATATATTATTTCTTTCACCAGTTTCAACAAGACAGTATCTTACATCCTTAGCTCAATCCGGGACCCTGGAGACTGACAATGGTGAGTCAAGAGCGGAAAATTTAATAAAGGGAAGGAAGAATCGAGCTTTCTGAAAGCAAAGATTTTTATGGGATAGAACAATAGCATGTGTAGACCCATGTAGTCCTGACCAATACCTGTTGGAATGTAAAAAAAAATTGTGAACTGTAATCATACCCAAAGGCCAGTGCAAAAATAAAAAAAAGCTGGACACTATCAAATCCCACTTCAGTCTTATAATCCTCACACATATTAGGCCAGAAAATTGGACATCTCTACCAGCCGAAGACATAAAAAATAGCTATGCCCTAAATCTGAAAATGAAACCATACCATCAAAGACACCTATATTATTAATAAAAATTTCAAAGTACCACTAGCTTAAAAACAAATGCTTTTAAAATTCCTTTGAGGGAATTCTTGAATCCTGTCTTAATCTATTTCAGATTCCACAGTATCACCAAGAACTGATACATCTCAGGGTGAGAGAATTTCGTTTCCCCTACATGTACATTTGATGTGCTTAAATTCAGTATGGAGGACTAACACTCCATTCTTACTAGTCTTGCCTTTTTTCCCTTTTGATCTTATTTGCAAGTGGGTAAAGCTGTAGAAAATTACTGCAACTATTCTTTGCAGAAAATACAGATGAATTTCAAAATCAAACTATATTTCTCTTGTTACACGGGTTTCAATAGGAGCATGGACACCTACTTCATCTCTTCCCACTGGTCACTCAAATGTAAATCCTGTAATCCAACTGACCATTGAAGATGGTAAGTTGTACCAAGTTGTAATGCCCATGACTATATGTTCGTGTGTGTTTCGAGAAAATAAATTAATCAATCAATCAATGAAATATAAATACTGGCATTAAATAAGATCCAATAAGGAAAGACTATTTTCATACCCTATTATTTAAAATATCATGTCATTTACATGATAATGGATCTCTTTTCATTGACTCTATAGATTTTGTTGCCTGCAGTGCTGATACAATCATCAGAAAGAATTGTGACACCACAACTTATGTGTGCTGCTGCGAGCTCACAAAATATTAAAAGTGAATATACTGTAAGGACAGACTAAAACAATCACATTACAGTAAAACCCCGGTAGGGATATGAAAAACAGTTCGAGTTGGCGGGGACTCCATTTTTCAGGGTCGATTGAATATCCAACTTGCCATGTTAAAAATTGATATTTTGCCGAGTTTTTCAGCACTTCAGTATACAGTGACAGCTAAAGGTACCGCATCCAGTATGACTCATAGGATCGGGAAATGACTGTCACTAATTAATATCAAATTGCTGTGGTGTTAGATTTGAGTGTGTTTACCAATTACAGGACAAGAAAACCAAATGGGATGACATCCCTGTTAAGTTACATGAACCAGAATTCGAGTTATCAGGGTAAATTTTTATCAAGGGCAATGAAATTTGGTTCGAGTTAGCGGGGAATTCGAGTTATCAGAGTTTGAGTTAACCAAGTTGAAATGACTGAAAAGTGGGGACAAATCCAATGAAATGGGACTTGGTTCGAGTTAGCAGGAATTCAAGTCATCTGAGTTTGAGTTACCGGGGTTCTACTGCACTGTTAAAACTGCAAACATTTACATACAAATTGGTTGCCATGGGAATGGGATACAACTGCTAACATTGTCTTCCACAACTACAGATGCCGATTTACAACAAAGTCCATTTGAGAATTCTGTCATAGTACTGGACCAAATTCAAGGTAACTCATTTTTTTAATTAGCCCATCCAGGCTTTTATCCAGGATTTGAAAAGTGGGTGTCCAAAATGTGCACTAGTGTCTGCTCAAATGGACATTTATAAGGCAACATATGAACAATGATTTTCTTTAAGAATAGGCCGTCCACAAGACAACCTGGACACTCATCTGGCAAATTGCCTGAGCTCAGCCCATTGACTCCCATGT